GGGGTGGGGGAGATGGGGAGGAATCAGTAGCAAGGATGTAGGGTGGGGGAGATGGGGAGGTATCAGTAGCAAGGATGTAGGGTGGGGGGAGATGGGGAGGTATCAGTAGCAAGGATGTAGGGTGTGGGGAGATGGGGAGGTATCAGTAGCAAGGATGTAGGGTGGGGGAGATGGGGAGGTATCAGTAGCAAGGATGTAGGGTGTGGGAGATGGGGAGGTATCAGTAGCAAGGATGTAGGGTGTGGGAGATGGGGAGGTATCAGTAGCAAGGATGTAGGGTGGGGGAGATGGGGAGGTATCAGTAGCAAGGATGTAGGGTGTGGGAGATGGGGAGGTATCAGTAGCAAGGATGTAGGGTGGGGGAGATGGGGAGGTATCAGTAGCAAGGATGTAGGGTGTGGGAGATGGGGAGGAATCAGTAGCAAGGATGTAGGGTGTGGGAGATGGGGAGGTATCAGTAGCAAGGATGTAGGGTGTGGGAGATGGGGAGGTATCAGTAGCAAGGATGTAGGGTGTGGGAGATGGGGAGGAATCAGTAGCAAGGATGTAGGGTGTGGGAGATGGGGAGGTATCAGTAGCAAGGATGTAGGGTGTGGGAGATGGGGAGGTATCAGTAGCAAGGATGTAGGGTGTGGGAGATGGGGAGGTATCAAGTAGCAAGGATGTAGGGTGTGGGAGATGGGGAGGTATCAGTAGCAAGGATGTAGGGTGTGGGAGATGGGGAGGTATCAGTAGCAAGGATGTAGGGTGGGGGAGATGGGGAGGTATCAGTAGCAAGGATGTAGGGTGTGGGAGATGGGGAGGTATCAGTAGCAAGGATGTAGGGTGGGGGAGATGGGGAGGTATCAGTAAGCAAGGATGTAGGGTGTGGGAGATGGGGAGGAATCAGTAGCAAGGATGTAGGGTGTGGGAGATGGGGAGGTATCAGTAGCAAGGATGTAGGGGTGGTGGGAGATGGGGAGGTATCAGTAGCAAGGATGTAGGGTGTGGGAGATGGGGAGGTATCAGTAGCAAGGATGTAGGGTGTGGGAGATGGGGGAGGTATCAGTAGCAAGGATGTAGGGTGGGGAGATGGGGAGGTATCAGTAGCAAGGATGTAGGGTGTGGGAGATGGGGAGGTATCAGTAGCAAGGATGTAGGGTGTGGGAGATGGGGAGGTATCAGTAGCAAGGATGTAGGGTGTGGGAGATGGGGAGGTATCAGTAGCAAGGATGTAGGGTGTGGGAGATGGGGAGGTATCAGTAGCAAGGATGTAGGGTGGGGGAGATGGGGAGGTATCAGTAGCAAGGATGTAGGGGTGTGGGAGATGGGGAGGTATCAGTAGCAAGGATGTAGGGTGTGGGAGATGGGGAGGTATCAGTAGCAAGGATGTAGGGTGGGGGAGATGGGGAGGTATCAGTAGCAAGGATGTAGGGTGTGGGAGATGGGGAGGTATCAGTAGCAAGGATGTAGGGTGTGGGAGATGGGGAGGTATCAGTAGCAAGGATGTAGGGTGGGGGAGATGGGGAGGTATCAGTAGCAAGGGATGTAGGGTGTGGGAGATGGGGAGGTATCAGTAGCAAGGATGTAGGGTGTGGGAGATGGGGAGGTATCAGTAGCAAGGATGTAGGGTGGGGGAGATGGGGAGGTATCAGTAGCAAGGATGTAGGGTGTGGGAGATGGGGGAGGTATCAGTAGCAAGGATGTAGGGTGTGGGAGATGGGGGAGGTATCAGTAGCAAGGATGTAGGGTGGGGGAGATGGGGAGGTATCAGTAGCAAGGATGTAGGGTGTGGGAGATGGGGAGGTATCAGTAGCAAGGATGTAGGGTGGGGGAGATGGGGAGGTATCAGTAGCAAGGATGTAGGGTGGGGGAGATGGGGAGGTATCAGTAGCAAGGGATGTAGGGTGTGGGGAGATGGGGAGGTATCAAGTAGCAAGGATGTAGGGTGTGGGAGATGGGGAGGTATCAGTAGCAAGGATGTAGGGTGTGGGAGATGGGGAGGTATCAGTAGCAAGGATGTAGGGTGGGGGAGATGGGGAGGTATCAGTAGCAAGGATGTAGGGTGTGGAGATGGGGAGGTATCAGTAGCAAGGATGTAGGGTGTGGGAGATGGGGAGGTATCAGTAGCAAGGATGTAGGGGTGGGGAGATGGGGAGGTATCAGTAGCAAGGATGTAGGGTGTGGGAGATGGGGAGGTATCAGTAGCAAGGATGTAGGGTGGGGGAGATGGGGAGGTATCAGTAGCAAGGATGTAGGGTGTTGGGAGATGGGGAGGTATCAGTAGCAAGGATGTAGGGGTGTGGGAGATGGGGAGGTATCAGTAGCAAGGATGTAGGTGTGTGGGAGATGGGGAGGTATCAGTAGCAAGGATGTAGGGTGGGGGAGATGGGGAGGTATCAGTAGCAAGGATGTAGGGTGTGGGAGATGGGGGAGGTATCAGTAGCAAGGATGTAGGGTGTGGGAGATGGGGAGGTATCAGTAGCAAGGATGTAGGGTGTGGGGAGATGGGGAGGTATCAGTAGCAAGGATGTAGGTGTGGGAGATGGGGAGGTATCAGTAGCAAGGATGTAGGGTGTGGGAGATGGGGAGGTATCAGTAGCAAGGATGTAGGGTGGGGGAGATGGGGAGGTATCAGTAGCAAGGATGTAGGGTGTGGGAGATGGGGAGGTATCAGTAGCAAGGATGTAGGGTGGGGGAGAACCATTCCATCTAAATGATAGCGGTCTGAAATGAATCAAGTCCAGACCAGACAATCCAGTGACTGATATTATGAGCAACGTCTCACGGCAAAATGACACACAATGACTTAGTTGCCTCTTACAACAAGCATCGGCTGGCTGTGATTAATGGTATTTACTTACCATTTACATGTGAGAATAGTTTGTGTTATTTCAAAGCCAAGAAAATTTATTCACATTTCTGATGACAAAAACACCCACCTGTTCTATGAGTGACTAAAAAGAAAAATGGCATGAAAAAATTACCTTTTAACAAAACACTTGTAATCTTTATCAACATCATATCACATAATTTGTCACCTCATTTAAAATTAACACTTTTCACAAATTTCTCTTAAAAAATTCTCACATTTCACCTCTTTCATAAATTTCTCTAGAAAAATTCTCACATTTTGGCTCTTTCACAATTTTCTCTACACTAAACTCCAAGCAGAGATTTCTTGTAATGTCCAAAAGAGAATTAGTGACCCCACTTTCCTCATTTCATCTATTGTGATTCATAATCCCCCATTCCAGAAGACAAACCCCTTCCTCAAAGAATACCAGAACAAATGTCTTTGTTTCCAACTGCCAAACAAGCACGCCAGCAAGCATCTCTATTTGATGGTACCAACAATCCACAGACTACTTAAGGAGTCATCGCTGCAGCCAGTGGCCAAATAATGTCACCTTGGACACAAAGGAATGACGGGCCGGCTTTAAGTTCATGCCTTGGGAAGTACAATGATAATACATGCCATAATAGAAGGAATTTGTGAGAATGGGATGACTTTTTCAATCTGTGGTAGGGTTATCATATTTCAAAGATGCGAGAGCTATTACTAAATAATTATCACAGAGTGTCCCACTCTTATTGTCACCCTCCTATTATGTTGTCTCGAGTGAATGCATTTAATCCATGGTGATATCGACTGATGAAACAGAATCGATCTAACATGTTACAAATTTGAGCAATTCAAGAAATGCAAATATGTTTTAGACCAGTAATTTAGAGAGCATCAAATGTTTGATATTCTTTGACTCTTTTGAACAGTCCCAACAATATTGCCTACTGTTGTGTTTTTCAAAAATAACCACTTACTTGACGGGCATTTGTTTGTTCAACATATATTGACAGCACGGATACATAAAATCCAATTCCCATACTAATTCCTTCCTTCCAAGAATCTAATATATTATTTACAAAAAATCAGCAAAATGACACAAAAATTCTCATTCAAAATTACCATCCCTTCTTGCCGATCGAGTATCTTATCAAACATGTTATCACCCTGACGCCTCTCAAAGGCATCCACTCTTGAACCAATAAAAACTGCACATAAATGTAACACATCTATCATGGGTGCCGATAACTCCGTCACGCTCTCTCCTAAACTGAAATCAATACGTTAAAGTCCCCCATAAAACTTTCATCAGACAAATCGGTCAGACGTCCGCATCTCAATATCACGAACTTGCACGTGCTTTACAAAGGGCAGCGCGACATGCCAATTAGATATCGTGTAGAATCATGTCGTCTCATCGTAATTGGAGCAGATGTATTAGCACAAGTGCAGTTTTACAACCTGCTACCCCACCCATAAACCAGATGTTCATGAGATAACCCCTCCCCTCATCTAACGCTGAGGTCATGGGGGTGACGGTAATTTGGATAATGGACGCTTGATGACCGTCGCTTCCGTAACTGTGTGAACGAGGGTCTGATTAGCCAATGAACGCCCTCGTTACAAGAGCTGATAGGAACAAAAGAAAGACTTCAATGCGACGTATTCTTAGAAGTGCGATTTTCCGACACCCACCTGCGGGGTTTAGAATTGATGAAAATCCCGAGCTAAAACACGTGGAAGTCGGTAAGTATAAATTGACAAGTTTAAAAACACCCAATCACCCAAGGGTATCCATCCATATTAGTTCCATATAGTTTGCGATTTAAACTCATATTTGGTCGGGCGGTATGATGATCTATGCCCATTGCTGACACATAGTAAAATACACTGCTCCTCTTCGATAGGTAATAACTATACCCACTTGGGATCTAGTTAGCGTATAGCATGACATGGTAAGAAGGTTGTCAACAAAGATCGTCAGGCCGATTTACTAGAAGTAGATGAGATAAAAGAACAAACATTAATGAAGTTTTGTTGTTAGAATTTCCGTGAATAAGTGTAAGTTGAACATGTAGGTACACTGTCTGACTTGATTTAACAATTCCTCAATGGCGTCAACAAAACTACGATTTATAACAGTGTCAGCTTATACTTAAAGTTTAGATTTACTTACCTGTTGTCCTGTAGCCGTACTGCACCTCCACCGCCGACAACATCGTCTCGGGGAGGACGAGAAAGAAAGCGGAAATCAAATGAAAAGTTTGCGCCATGGGACAAAAATGTTGCCAAATTCTTTTCATGCCGGCTTTCTTGATTTTTTTACAGAAAGCGTCCATGTTGGTGTTCAAGGCATGATCTCGGCCTAATTTAATCCCATCGTTACCGTAGTTCCCCACACGGACCCACGAGGTTATTACGAAGAAGGGTAGGACGAGAATTGACACGATGATCAAGGCAAGGTGAGCTGAGACCTCGCCCGGTCTTCCGTCCTGACCACCCGGCCACGCCCTCTCCGAAGCCTCGTTATAACGCCCGACGGCGGCATATATGGCATAACTTTGCACTCCTAAAACCAACAGGCAATAGATGATGGACCAGAAAGAATTCAAACTTGTACTGTGAGTTACGATTCCTGCCATTGTTGAACAATCAACACAATCCTGTTTGAAGAGTTAGGACACGCTGCTGGACACCTCTCCGTAGATTCCCATGGTATGAACCACTTGCACAAGGAACAGTTTCTCTTTCGTGGTGTTTCGTAATATCCCGAAATATCGTGTTTTAAACCGTCATTCACATTCCACAGTTATTCCGTAACGTTCCATATAACCCAGAACATTTTCAAAGTTTGGCGAATAACATCCTGTCATCCAACACGGACAAGAGTACACTTTCGACTTCCAACACACAATGTTTCTGCACCTATCCGATCCAGAAAATGTTTCTGTAAGCAATATCCTCAGAAGAACAATCTATCCGCGCTTCCGACATCCAGCCGAATGTGTCCATTCTCTGCCGGCGAACTGCACTGGCGATGAGCCACAGCCAGGTAGCGGTACTCCGCGTTGCAGTGGGAAACAGTACCGACGAAGCATGTAAACACGGCCCTCTCGGCTCAACAACAATCTTCCTGGCTTTTCCCTCTCACCACGTTCACCTAATAACAGCTTACACTGAACTTCACTTTCATGTAACGCTAACGCACAGTTTGAGAATTCTGTGGTTTTGAAACCGGAATGTCCTTGAAAACTTCCGATTCCAACCCACGTGCTGGTATCGTCTGTCACACGGCCCTTCACACGCACGCGCGGTGTATCTCCGCTGTGGCGGGAATGCGTAATTCGTCCTCCTATCCCCCGCCGCGTTCCCTGTTTAGCAAATAACTTGCCAACTTTTCACCCATTCTGGAGTTGCGTGTGTTACAGATGCATCGAAGACTACTGAAAAACAAAAGCAATGGAGTTACAGTTACAAAAGTGCTACGGGTTGCCTGTCGTCTGCTTCAACTGTTCTCGTCTGCCGTGTGTCTGGTGCACGTGTTGTCTTCTTTCTGCGGATGGGAATGTGAGCAATGCCAAGGCATCGTCAAGAATTTATCAACTGGATCTGTTTATGTGTGTGCCACATGGTCGGAAGATGTCATTAAGAAACCCAAAAGGCTTCTAAATAAAGTTTTCTGTGAAAAAAAGATAAATATGCGACGATTGAGAAACCATTGATCATAATTTACAGCCTTTACTGATTTGGACGATTACCGAGAAATGACGTTGATTACAAATGTCAACATCGGTATCGGTATACACTTTCAGTTCTCCAAAGAAAAGGCAAATGATGTGGAGTCTAAACATCAAAGAGATATATTGACTCTTGGCATCCTAAAACACGTTAACACTCCTCCAGCAACGGCGTGAAAACTCCGGCTAATTGAATTACTTCAGGGGAACTCACCACATAGAAATGTCATTTTGATTTTAGGAACACTTTTTCCTTAAACCTCATAACATATCGTAATAGATCGTACACCGGCTTAGTATCGATTAAGGAGTGTAATCAAAGGCCTTCGTTCTAATACATCATCAGCTGTTGATGCCAATTCGTGGCGAATTATCAAAATTACAGATATTGATATTGTTCAGAAAAACAACTAATCTCATTTCGGTCGGTTCAAATAATTTTCATTTTTCATGGTGACCGTCGTATCGTGATCGATGGCCAGTAATGTCTGACGGAGACTCCCTGAAGTGGAATTACTCACTGTGTTCCGCCCCGTTCATCTCAGGACTGACAAGCAAATTATCCTCTCACCTATCTGCAGACAAACTGTGTTGATACTGTCTTCGATTAGGGCCCTACAGTTCCTGCTAATTAGCCCCGATAATGTGTTGGATAACATCTTGTCACCGATGGCAACACGCTGGCCGTTTTGGTGGATTATGACGGGAGTGAATTCATGGTATGGGTCTATTGTTACAACCCATTTGCCCTGATTGAGAACTTACGTTGGTGCAGTGGCTGATTGATGATACCTAGTGACGTTGCAGAATCATACGACTATGAAAGTTTTCACGACACGTATTCATGTTCTGGGCTATCATATTCTAGTCATTCGCCCTGAACTGGCGTACACACACGATCTTGTCAAAATTTCTAGCATGGTGATGACGTCTTTGTACGACAGGATGGGGACGTTGTAGATATGTACGTCGTCGCGGAGGACACATTCTTGCAAGAACACTCACGGTTCCAATACGAACGTTGCTGCGATCATGTTACGTCTGCTAATAATTTCATCACCTGGAACGATGACGTCACACTGTAGACACAGCCTTGAAAGACATCCAAAGATGGCGCAACTGACGTCGGGTTTACTGGTACACAACAGTGTAGTGAGTGGTCGTCGTCGGGCCTTGTCGCCTACAGCAGTCTAGTTGTTAAGAATTATTAAGACAACACTGTCCCGTTCGTTGAAAGAGTGAAGAATGTCATTCATTTAGTCCGCATCTAATGCTTGAATACTTATGAGTGAGTATAGTTTTAAGCCGCTTTTAGTAATAGTACACGGGGGACACCAGCAATGGGCTTTGTACCCATGTTGGGAATCGAACCAGGCCTTTTGGCGTGACGAGCGAACGATTTAACCACGAGGCTGCCCAACCGCCCCAGAATATTTTTGTGGTTTATTAAACTACCTTAGTTAAAGCGTTCGCTCATCACAACGAAGACCCGAGTTCGATTCCTGCCTGCAAAGTGTGTAAACCCTCATTGATGACCTCACTACGATGTTGCTGCAGTGTTGCCAAACGCTTCAATCTCAACTCACTCAGTTGTGTCTTCGCAGTCATATAGCTGGAATATTGCTGTGTGCGTCGTAAAACAACAAAACCGTTATGTCTTCAAACATCACGTGACTATTATGATATTTAGTGCCCATATGTGCGCGCGTGCGGATGCGTTTGTGGATATATCATGACCAGGGCGTGGCAACTTTATTGTTTTAAGAAGAATGGTTGGAACCCGCCCCTTCCTGTAACGTGTCAAAACATCACTATCACATTAACACTACGTTTTCGTAGGGCTGGGTGCAGGCATCCGGTCCACTCACCCACAAAGAAGAAATCCGAGACCCCTTGGGACATAGAATCTGAAAACCCGTGACAATTCTGTGAAGATCCTGTGAATTAAGTACGCTCTCATTTTACATCACGTTGGTTTTCCGCCGACGTCATGATATCCCTGAAATTCTGACGTTGTGGTTGAAGTTGCGATAAACCACATCACTAACCCACAAGATTAGATTTATTGCAAAAAGCATTCCATACGGAACAGATGTAATTTTTAAATCACAATACATTATAATTCCTACATAATTTCACAGTTCCACAATTCCATTATCCCGCGAGCCGTCATGTAAAGGTATATCGATGCTAGAATACCAAAGATAACACCTTATCAAGGCAAATTCACGTTGTGCAATTAACTGAAAGAACACTTTCCATGTTTGACACTTAAATGTTTCAAAACAACTGCAACGCGCGCCCAGAGAGACTCACACACAAGACTTAAAGAAAACAACGGCACCTTCTCCGTGGCTTCCGGTGATGTCAACAAAACATTCTTCTGTAACGCGAGCCTCCATCTCGGGCCAGTCACTCTGACATGCGCAGCACCTACACCGGAAACCGATGCACGCTTGTTTATTTTTTTCGTTTTTATTAAAGACAAAGCCGGTGTGAATTTTCAAATTTGAATTTGTTGACATGGGTTTATATTACATTGCCAGCCTAGGAAACAAACAACCAGACGTGTCAAGACTTCAAATAGTTAAACAAACGGTAGGGTATACCAACGAGGAGGTATGCGGGCTTTTTTTTATTTTTGAAATTCTTAGCATAAATGAATACAACTTTTTTACAAAAGAGGTGGTTGCCCTGAGATAATCAGGACAACGTGTCTCAAACACCGGTGCCATGAGAGGCACGTGTAAATTGGAAAAAATGGTATTAACAAATGATAGCTGTTATGATTAATTTACAGTGTTAATGAAAGGTATCTAATTTTTAGATAAATAAATAGTGGAAATTTCAACACCTGCGGGAGTTGCATTGAATATCGAGTAAACTATTCAAGGAGTAGTGGTGTATACAATTTGGGACATTTAGAAGGAAGGTTATAATTGCCACGTACAATTATGTATCTGTTCTCAGAACGACATTTCTTCAACTTGGGCTGAAATAAATTATTGTATTGCAGAAATTAAATTAATGTCTCATACTATTCGGGATTATTTCTATTTCTTTGTGGATTATTAAACTTTCCATTTTACCACGATTTTCAAAACTTTTTCACACATCTTGTTTTAAATGTAGCGTTTCGGAATCAAACGGAAACGACCGAGGATGGTTGAGTGTCCCGCGGGAATGAATCACGGCTCTGAAGACTAAAGTCATGGCCGATTGTCTCGGATTTTGATACTGTCTCAAATCAATTACGCTGCTATGTCGCCACTACCGATGTCGTCGACTGATTACGTGTTGACGTTGTCTGCCGTCTATGTCGGCGTGCATCCCGACACGATCGCTGCAATCGGAGCCCCAGTCGCTGACGCTTTCAACATAGTTACAGAACAGAGCAATTTAACTCAGCGTCATTTCTGCAGAAAATTAAAGGCGCATTTACGCTTTGGAAAAGTTGTTCCATTTTGTTGCTTGAATTCTTTCGCGATAAATAAGTCAGCCTGGCTTTAAACTTGACATTGAAAGGTTTGACGAAGACTTGAGTCATAAATCACGAGACTCATTCGGCACCTCCTTTTTATTCCCGTAAACATCGAGTAGTGACGATTTGTTTCGGCATGACACGGGGGGTCCCGAATTCCGAAAAACGATTAAAAGAGAAATGTTTTGAAAATTGATATTTATGGCTGCCTTGGGGGTTGTTTGTGTTTCCACCGTGTGGAATAACCCATTTACAATCCTTTATCATAGGGCGAGCGTTTGATTTTGTTACATTGTGTGATTTTATTGTCGCGGAACTTCTTAATAATCCCCTGAAAACATGTAGAATTGTTTGACTGCTTGTGCTTGAAAACATGCTGAAATCTTTGACTGCTTATCGTGTCATAAATACCAGGTGTTTACGAAAAGTGTTTCAATTATACGTAAATACATTGATGTGTAGATCTTAAACGTGTATGTATTCTGGTTACATGACGTATGTTAAGAATCATTAAAGTTTCATTTTGCGATTTATCATAAAATATTCAGATAATATAAACCTCACATGATTCCAATTCAAATTAGCAAATAAATGTACATCCAAAGAACGATACGCCAAACATATTTAAATGTACTTACAGCTTTAAGTGTTCATCATTAACCCTCAGGTGACTGAAACTTTTTTTGTGATAAAAGACAACTTGCTTGAAGTGGGTAGAACCCAAGGACTACCCACGGTATATATGTAGCGATACTAAGCCGCGCGATGATCCTGAACCCATATGTTGTCAACAGGCGTCGAGGTAAGCACCGGCGTTCACACAATGAGCCCATTTCTGTTAAACAACGTATCACCCATGTATAATGCATTATCCCCAGTCAGAATAATACCAGGCATTCAGAAGTTGTGTTGTAGTTTCTGAAAGAACAAATCGATTTTTCCTTTTTTTCTCACCACCGAGCGTCTATAAGTTCACACACCACTGACTTCAATTGTTATGGACATGGATGGGAATGCCACAACGGTCTATAAAGATACATACATGAGTATCTTGTAGTATATGTATATTTGATGTTACACTTTGATTGCCGGGTTTCCCTCGAGAAACTGTCGTTTGATGATGTAGAGGTCCGAGTGGAGTTTCAAAGACGTCTCTATCCACTGGACCAAAGGACGTGAAGAAACATCCCGCATGACAATAACCCCTATACCCCATGTCTGGCCA